ATTACAGCATCTTTAGATAAAAATAATGATGTTTGAATGAGGATATCATAATAAAACAAATTGTAGTTAAAATTATTTAATTTACAAAAAAGTACTTTCAAAGAGACAATAACAAAATAAATAATTTCTACACAATATCAATTAAAAATAATATCAGAAAAAACAACAACAACTTATCAATACAAATACGTATGTAAATAATGATAGTACAATATATACAAATTATACAGGAGCTTAAAATAATGTTAGGGTCGTTCAAATATATTTCAACTTTTTTATCTAAAATTATCAACATATCTGAATACTTTGAGCTACCCCGTACAAAAAATGGAAAAACCTGATAATCTGAATAAAAATGAAGAAGTATAAGTGTAATAGTATTTAGTTACGTTCGTATACTCTAGTTTGTGTTTAATTATTAAATAGAAAAACTGTGTCTATATTTTCTTCGTTTATTTCAACTTCACATCATGTTTCAGATGGTTAAGCTAATTTTTTTATTTATGCTTGTAAACTATTTACACATTTGATACAAGAAAATTCAAGAAAAAATATCCAATAAATGTCATCAGAAGTTATTTAGAAGGCTTGTGTACCTTTGAATAAAAAGATGAAAGAAGGAGCATATCAACAAACTTAAGGCCAGCAAACTGTGGAGAATTAATATGATGACCTAAATACCCATTAATCAATGCCGTTCTAATTTTATTTAAAACCTGTAAAAATATAATGCAAGGTAAACTCAATAATTTGTTAGTTTTGTTTCACGTTGTCACTAAATGTTATTAGTTAATAAAATTATTGTTAAAAAATATATTTCTAGTAAAAATCGATAAGTCATAATTATTATCTAATAATCAAAATATCAGATGCGCTACTGAGACATCGAAGTAAAACTGTCGTACCCTAATTATTTTTGACAAGTTGTAAATAAAGCGAGAATACAAGAAAAAACATATAATTATTTAATTCTAATTGAATTTCTGAAATGATTGTTATCTTGTATCCTATCAGTAAAAATATTCGCTTATTTATCTCAATGCACACAAGGCACAATTTATCTCAATTCAACCAAGATTGCACACTGCACAACTAACTATTTTAATTTCTTTTTTTAAGACTTAAAAATCTTGACATTATTGTGAAACTTAAAATGAGCCATCAAAAATAGTGACAAAAAAAATTATGGAAAAACGTTTTACTAATTAGTAATTATACAGGGCGTCTAATAATGATACTCTTATATTTAAGAGGGTAATTCGTGGACCTATTCTAAGAAAAAAAACTCCATATGAATTTATGTTCTAAACATCTTACCTTTTGAGGTACAGGGTGGTAGCATTTTCTAAAACACTATTTAATACACGTTTTCTATGCAACAAAATACATTTTTAATGTACAAATGAAAAATAAATAAAAAATAAATGATGTGAATGAAGATTTTCAAAATAATTTTTATTTTAACAGAAGTTAGTGGCATACTATTTTTTCTCCAAAAATAATATTCAATATAAAACCCTTATGGGCGCCACTGGTTGAAAAAAAAATATTTGTACGTCACAAAAAGCATTTTAATACACAGAAGACGATTATCAAGATTCGTAGAGACAAATAATCTACGAGTATAATAACAGCAGAATTATTACTTACGAAAAAACAGTTTTTTAGAAAAGTTTACACCCTGTATCTCTTTTAAGTTAAGATGTTTAGGAATATTCCTAGTTTTAAGTTAAGTTGTTTAGGAACATTCCTATGTTTTTTCGTAGAATACGCATAAAAATCACCCTCTTAAATATAATAGATGTCACAATAATATGGTATGTACCCTTAGGGTATATACCGGGTTCGTCTCAAAACTGGTTCACCCCTATAATTTTTTTTAGATAAAAAAACGAGATTTGGTATGTTAGTATATGACATAAATTAGGATTGATTGACGTATTCAATTGTTTTTCTCACTTCCTGTTTCACCGGAAATGACTACAACTTTTGATTTTTAAATGACACTCCCTATTTTTTTTCTTTGTTCGATAGAAAATGACATTCTGAAAACAATGACATCATATGTCAACTTTTGACATTTTCGGATATGGTTTATTTGAAATTGTGACATGCGATTCATAACGACAATTTGATTCGAAATACCAAGTGTGTGGTACCAAATTATTCGTAAAAGATTGTTTTTTAAATATGCTAATGAGCCACCCTCGTTACATTTAAAAAAATTGAGATAAGTTTAAAAATTCGATTTGGCCATCTTTTAACCGACTAGGACAAGACAGTAAAAACATTAGACGATCAAATCTATTTTTCCAAGGCTACTTGATTAAAAATTAGTGTTTCTAACACATCCATGGCACTCTAGATTGAAATTTAATATATTATATTTTTTAAGCGAAAATGTCAAAAGTTGACATATGATATGTCATTCTATTCAGAGTGTCATTTTCTATCGAACAAAGTAAAAAAATACCGAGGGTGCAATTTAAAAATCAAAAGTTGTAATCATTTCCGGTGAAACAGGAAGCGACGAAAAACAATTGATTACGTCAATCAATCCTAATTTATGGCATACACTAACATACCGACTATCGTTTATTTCTAAATAAATAAAAAAGTTATAGGGGTGAGCTATTTTTGAGACGCACCCGGTATAGGCACAAAGAAAATATTTTTCTCTTTTTAGTTACCGTGAAAATATCCCATAAGCCTTGATGAAAAAAAAATCTAGTAAAGTTTGAGCTCTTAATATTAATATTAAGAGGTGTCTGTTGTGTCACTGATTGTGATTTTCTATTTCTCGTTTAAATAACACGGGGAAATTTTTTTTTTGTTTTTGGAATTTTATTGCATTCTAACAAACAAGCGTTTTGTAAAAATCAATACGTATTCTTGTAGGAAATTAAACGGTTCTCAAAAAAGGTCAGATATGAATTTACACTTAATCGACTGGTTTGGAAGATATTGAAGGTTAAAGTTCAACTTCAAATCGTATATGATAACTTCCACAATTTTGTATACTTTGTCAAGAAATAATGGCTCAAAACTTAAAATATCATATTATGTACCCTGTATAATAATATGGTATACTCCTTCTTTTTTCTCCTTTATTCAATGGAACTCACGTGCTGTGACAAATGACTAGTATTTTTATCTTGTCATTCTTGTACATTTCCAAAGAAAAAACTAAGTTGACTAAAATGATATGGTTGACTTTCTTTCATATATATATATTACGATTTCTCGTTGTAGTTGAACCCTAAGAAATTCTACATCCGTACGGATTTGTACAATATTTAGAAAAAACCGTTACTTTTGCGACGTTTTACACTATATATTCTATACATTATATACAAAACGAATAATTTACAAAACTATAGAGATATACTATAATCTTTTGTTATGCTTTTGTTTTTTAGAATCCCAGCTTGAAGCGATATGTATACTTTGAGTTTGTTTTTTATGTCAATTTATAATAAGTATAAATTTCGTACGATATGCTAAAATAGTTCACCAAATGTTATGCCAATAAAATTTTATATAATTATGCTATAAAACCGAATATACAGGATGTTTTTAATATTACTTATATTAGTCTGAATTAATCTAATTCAGCAGATAAAAATCAGACTTTTTGAGAGTTTTAACTATGAGCTATTAAGAAATTGATTTATGATATGCATGTTGCAAAAATTCAACTAAAGCATAATGAAATATTTTGAAAACATCCTGTATATTTTCACAAAGTTTTATTTAAATATAGATAGATGTGCGAAGAAAATGTAATGTTTCATAAGTATTATATGATCACAGATTGATAGTTATTATTTCTATATTATGATATAAATCGGGTTACATATACAGGGTGTTTCAAAAAATATGTGCCATCTCTCGTGGGGAGATTCCTCACGTAAAAATAAGATTTATTTTTCATATCAATATAGGTCCGATTCTGCTTTGTTTCGTAGCTACAGGGTGTTAAAATCTTAATAATTTTCCGATTTATTATAATTTTCTTCGAAGTACTTTTAGTGATTCGAGCGAAATTTTCAGGGTATAAGTTACTATAAGTGCTACATATTTTAATGCTAAACAAGTGTCGATAAATCCATCAGGGACGTGCATGTGGCTTACCACTGGAATAATTCTCAAAAAAAACATGTGCGCCACTGACTTTTTTCTTTTGATATCAAAATTATGTAGGCCGTTTAATGCCAATTAAAAGTTATCTCTTGATGTTTTGTCGAATTATCATCCCTCCCTCCTTGATTAGAGAAACACAATTGTTATTAATCACAATTAATAAAATTAAAATAAAAATGTTAATAAATTGTATATTTTAGCTAATTTATTATTAAATATTATTACTATTAGTTATTATTACTATTAGTCGAACCTACAGCAATTTCAAATAAAAAATCATGGTATTTAAGATAATTACAAAAAATCTAATTTTAAAAAGTTTTAACATCCTGTAACTCTAAAACTATGCATTTCCATACCCATGTTTATAGGAACTTTTTTTCATATTTTTTTTGATGAGGAATCAATGAGTACTTATTTAAAACTTTCGTAAGTTAATGATTTCAAACTTTTTTTAAGGTTGCATTAGACTTGGAACAAGGCAAATTAATAAAATTGCGTTTATCTCATCAAGGACGCCGAAATCGACAAAATATCAAGAGACAACTTTTAATCGGCCTTAAAGTTAAAAAAAGTCAGTGGTGTACACGCTTTTAATAGAAAAATATTCCAGTGATAACGCATATGCACGTCACTGGTGAATATGGCGACACTTTTTTAGCCTTAATATGTCGTATTTATAGTAACTTTTACCCTGAAGAATACATTCAAAAATCAAAAAGTACTTGGAAGAAAATTATAATAAATCGAAAAAATATTAAGATTTTAACAGCCTGTAGCTAGAAAACAAAGCAGAATCGGACCTATGTTGATATGAAAATTAAATATTGTTTTTACGTGAGGAATCTATCTCCCCACGAGAGATGGCACATGTTTTTTGAAATACCCGATTATTACTAATTATTCTTTAGTTAAAATGTCCCCCTTAAAAATGTCCGAGATATGTGTAGTCCTTCCAATGAAAAAATACTTTTTATGACAGTAACAATTATTGTTGTTAATAAATGTTGATAGATGCATCTTATACAGCTTACAGCATTTATAGCTTGTTTTTGAAAATCAAGTTTCTGATTCGTTTTTGATTCAATTATATGTAATTACCTATATGTAACCCTGAAAGAATGCTATTATGAAATACAAAACTAGGAATGAGTGGTAACCGATAGCACAAAATAACTTTCCTTAATATCTAAAAAGTCTTTGGCAAAATTTGTAGGAAAAATTGCACTAAAATGTGATTCGTCGAAAATAAAAAGTTGCCACGTCCTCACAGTTTTCTTCGATAGCGGTAATTTATTAAAAAAGTTTTTTTTGTCAATAACTAAGGCCAACTTTTCATTTTCGCAATTTGCAGGATGATAAAATACTATAGAGATGTGTCTGTAATGGACACAGAGTCAGCTATATCGTCGGGTTATTTCGTTGGTCCTACGAGAGCAGCCGAACCATAGGCTTGGGCGTTACATGTGGGTAATGCGAACGGGTTCATAGAGGCGAAAGGTGACGACACAAGTGACATTCCTGCAACAATAAAAAATACAATATAATTAAAAAGGTGTATGAGGTATGCCCTGTTTCATAACAAATAATAGAGACGGGTCGTTTTTATTTTCGACATTTTAAACAACAGCTCGAAAAAATGGTTAGTTTCAAAAATATCAGGTATGAAAAAATAATGCACGTTTCTGGTCAACCTGTCGACACTTTTTTAACATTAAGATATGCCAACACTTGTAGTAACTTGGAAGAACAATGTGGGGATTGCCATATTATGAATTATCTCAAATTGGTAACAGTTATGACTTTGAACTTTTTTTGAACAAGAAGAAGAAATATGAAATTAATTTTTGGTAATAAAATGCAAATGTTGTGGATTTGGTTAGTAGATGGTTGGTAACATTATTTGAATTGAGCACATACTCATTTTGTTTCCTTTTGCTTCATTTTTGCTGCTTATTGTTATGATCAGCGGATGTCCTTATAGACGTCGGAGATTCTAATAAATAACAAAATACTGAAAATAGTAATGGAATAGAGGTTTGGGACAAATAAAACATAGCTCAGGAAACTATCAGAAATCAACAGAAGAATGAAGTTAGCTTGGAGTGCTTATGGCAGAAACTCAATTATATTCAAATCTAGAAAGCCACTCTATCTGAAGAAGAAAACATTCGACTAATGTGTTCTACCAGTCATGACATATGTATGCAAAACCTGGACACCTAAAACCGCCATCATAAGGAAACTGCAAGTCACACAACACTCAGTGGAACTAAATACATAATTACAGTTGGGGGGTTGAAACCTTTGGTGTTATAACAGCAATATAAAATACTGTGAGTTTTAATTATCTGCTGATGATGCTAACATAGTTAAGCAATGATGCTAACATAGTTAGTCCAGTGCAAAAGTAAAAATGTTTTGGTGTATTATGGACAAATAGAGTTTTATTTTGTAAATACATAATGTTGGAATAATGAAGTAAACCTGTAAAAAATGTAGAAAAAAGATAGATTAGATATGATAAAAACCCCAGGTAATAGCATTCATAGAATCAAATTCCTCATGTGGTAATGGGTACAATACCTGGCAAGAAGGACGAACAATGAATGGCCCACAAAAATTATAGAATAGTATCCACGAGGAATTAAGGGTCATTGAAGAAGACAAAACCTAAGATGCAACCATGATTATAGGAAAAGATGATGATGATAATAATGAGGATGATGACGATTAACAATAGAAAAAATAAATAATTAAATGATATTACTTTAAGGTCTTATTTTTAAATCATAGTTACAGTTCCAACTTAAATTTATAAATAACATTTTTGTTCAACTGACAGAAGGTTGTAAAATATAATAGTATAGTCAAAAATTATGAAAAATAAGACAGTTTCTTAAAATTTAATAACAGGGGATATACCTATTAAAATTCTAAAGAAGAATCTAAAGAAGAACACATTTCACCAATGTGTACTACCGGTCATGACCAAACATGGACCCTTAAAACGGACATCATAAAAAAACTGCAGGTCGCACAACTCTCAATGGAACGAAATATGCTGGTAATAACCACGAGAGACTGTAAAAGAATAGAGTGGATACGACAAAAGATGCAGGTAATGTTTTTGTCATCCACAAGGTCATTTCCCTCAAATGGCAATGGGCAGGACACCTGACAAGAAGAACGGACAACAGATGGAACGAACAACAATGGAGATTAAGAGACCTAGAAGAAGACCTAACCTGAGATGGGATCATGATATTAGGAAATTAGCAGGGATAACTTGGGCCCGCACAGCCAACAATAGACAACAATGTGCCCAACTACAAAGAGTTGGGCTACACGATAATTGGAAATGGTTGAATAAGCTGAAAATGATGACGATGATGCTGATACCTTACAGTTGAGGGTTGGAACCTTTGGTGTTACACAGCAAAATAAAAACACTAAATCACCACAATACACCAAAACACTTTTACTTTTACACTGGACGCGCGTTTCGCTAATCATGTTAGCATCATCAGCATATGATTATAAATTAACGCGCGTCCAGTGTAAAAGTGTTTCGGTGTATTGTGGTGATTTAGTGTTTTTATTTTGCTGATACCTATTAAAATAACTGAGGTTCTAATACTACTTTTGGGCAAAATCTATCACCTAATTTGCACTGAAATGATAAATGCCTATCCGATGCATCATCATCCGTGAGTTCACCTATATATTATCTTTATAGAGTTTTAATTAGCTTTTATTACAGTTATCAAACGCAAATATAAATATTTAACGGCAAAAAACTGCACTCAAACAGGAAAGTCAAGCAAAGTCACAAAAAGACAAAATTAAAAAGGAGAAAAATATTGTAATAAAAATACTAATACTTATTTATTATTGAACTGCTGTCGGTGCCAGCCCGTAACGTTTTGATGGTGGAACAGGGCCGTGGAGTAGGAGGGTAATTCGGCGAGTCCGATCCTTTAAATACCGGAGCGAAAGCGTTTTTTTTTCTTTGTCAAGACAAGTGCCGTGCGTACCCTTATAATAATGTTCTGTGCAAGCCAAAAAGCAAAAATAACACACATAAGCAAACTAATATATGTAAAATATAGAAAAATAAATAAAAAGCAAAGTTGTATTTATAAAAATGAATGTTTGATATATCAACATTTTTAAATAATACCAATTTACTTATTATTATTAATACCTCCATTATAATAACATTATTTGAAAACTTGGATTTATATTTTACTGTCAGGATTGGTACATACAAACGTGTACATTGTACGCTTCAAGTCAGTTTATTGATAATACGGATATTAAATACAAGCATGTTAACAACTGTCTGGAATATTTTATGGCCATATTATCACCATGTCCAGCTCATCTTGCATCAAATTACATCTACCAACATAATGCCAGAGTTACAATTACTTTATTATCATTTAAGACATTCGTTTAAAGCAACTGAAACACATGTGTTGCCTAGATAAACCCAGGCCCCACAGTTAGATGGAGAAACGCTATCAAAATATTTGATGAATGCACGTCGCACAGTGGTTTCGGCAATGGAAAAAAAAACCAAAATAGAGGGCGTTAAATCGGGTTTAAATTATCCCATCTTACATCGAGTTAGTTCAAAGACAATATAATAATATTACTTTTTTAATTTAATTACTAGTTTTGATTTTACAGCACCTCTTTTTGACAATTTTCTTAATATACGAAACGCGCAAAAATAAAGCGAAAACAAGTAATATTTTACAGCCCTTCTTTTAATTCCTAAAAATCGGTATTACCCAGGAACTGTTTCGTTTATCCATGGGCATTAAAAGTAAAAATCATTTTGCCAAAATATACCGTGCCATTGGTGCAGTTTAGGTTGAACCTATTTCTAATAAAATTACTTTACTTCTTACTTTAATCAGGCTTTACCAAGCTTTGGTCTCGGATTAATTTGACTAAAAAAAGCAACTGTTAAAGTAGTGATTCTATAAATTTTATCGCCAGATTCGGCCAAGTTTGTTAAAAATTTAAAATAAAAGATAAACGGTGTGAAAAAAATTAAAACTACTTTCTTCATTTTTGCGGATGCCGAAAACCGATTTTAGATAAATTTTGATATGAAACTTTATCAGTATTGTTGTTGGATTTGTCTTATTAGCTGGATAGTAAACATGTCGCAATTTGTGATACCATACAGTGTTGTGTGCGAGTTACTCTTTAACCGCGAGTACCCTTTAGAGCAAGGTTTAAGGGAACAGTATCCAGAATTACAAGGAGAGCGGTTGTTGCTGGTAACTGGAGCCATAAAAACGATTTCAACCTAACTTTGCCAAAAATTGAGAGAGAAGTGCATCATGTGAAAACGATTTTTTCGGAAGTATAGGAGTGGTTGCAGGGCGAGTTTTGGTTAATTTTCCTGAATCTGATCATGAATCCGAAAACGAGTCATCCCTTAAGTCTGTCGGAGGTCGCCCAGAGAAACCTTTTGAAGATTTGTGTAAAAGAAGTAAGCAAAATAAAATAAAAAAACTTCGAGAGGATTTTTCGGATGAATTGATAATCGCAGCAGCAGAACAAATAAAAAAAGAAAAACAAGCTGATACTATGAGGTATATTGATTCTAAAAAAGCCTTGGGTTTAATTTTTGACGCATCTTTAACAAAATATCAATATGAAATATTAAGAAAATGTGTTAAGGAAGTAGGCTGTAATATTTTCCCGCCCTATTTGCAACTACTTGATTCAAAAAAAACAGTGTTACCCTAATACGGTGGAAATAACAGAAAGTTGTGGTAAAGTCACTTTGCAAGGCTTATTGGATCATACTGTGGCGAGAATTATACAAGGAAAAACGGAGAATGAATTGTGCATGATTAAAAGTGAACTCACACTGATTTCAAAACGGGGATGTGATGGTTCATCAGGACATTCTCAATACAAACAAACACTCTCCGATGAAAACGTCACAGATGCAAACATGTTTTTGACGTCAGTTGTGCCCTTGTCCTTATCTGAAAACCACGATGCTTCCATAGTTCGTTGGGAAAATCATAGACCATCCTCTACACGATTTTGTCGGCCTCTTAAATTTGAATATATCAAAGGAACAGCAGAGGTAATACGAAATGAAGTGGAAAGAATGGAACGGGAAATTTCGAATTTGACACCTTCCGTCATCAAGTTAACGGGAAAAACTTTCACTGTTAACCACACCCTAGTATTGAATATGATAGATGGAAAAGTTGCGCAAACAGTGGTTGGAGCATCATCAATGGCTGTTTGTTGTGTATGTAATGGTAAGCCTTCAGATTTTAATAATTTGGAACTAGTGAAAAGTAAACCAGGGGCAAACAAGGCGATACAGATGGGCTTCTCTCCATTGCACGCTCGCATAAAATTCATGGAATGTGTGTTACACATTGCATATAATAAAGAGTTTGCAGCTTGGCGAGTTAATCAGGAAATAATTATAATATCAATATACTAAAAAATATAAATTCATAAAAAAAATAATA